TGGATATCAGGAACCAGTATGCGGAAATACAAGTTGAAATTTAAAATTTGAAACAAAAGACATAGAGAATCAACAAAGAGTACGAAGAAATTTATTTGTTGATCACTTGGTAAGAATGAAAAAACTCCTTAGATGAAACTTGTATATTTTTTGGGGGGTTTTTCAATCAAAATCGGAACCACCAGCTTCTACAGGTGCACGATCTAGGATTTTGCAAAAAGGGGGCACTATCAAACCAGAGTTACAATGTAGAGTGATACTTGAAAAAACTCTATGCATTTTTCATATTTTGAAGCTCCATAAGGGGGCCCCGGACCCCTGGGCCCACTAAATCTGCCTCTATTCTAATATCTACATACATCAATGTGTCGAGACGATTCAGATTGTTGTAAAAATAGGGAGATGTGGATTGTGCACAGGCACTTGTTTCTATCCATGTGAAGATTCACTATCAACGTTTATTTAGGAGCTTCTAAATATACGTTGATAGTAGATCTTCACATGGATAGAAACAAGTGCCTGTGGGATTGTGTATGATTGCGAATGAGACAGCTATCCACCAGATAACTTGAATAATTACAGCGCCCCCTTACGGTCATTGTAGTGATCGAAGTGAGTGAAAAATAACGAATTGGGTTATTCGGGTTATCTACCAGAGTTCAAATGAAGTGGATATAAGCGATTATATTTCACTGTTCGTCCTTCAACAATGAGAAAACCCATACTAAATAGTCCGCTATACAGGTCTCGACATACAAATTGTTAAACAAGAAAGCTAATGACTTAAATTTTTTATAACAATACACATTTAATGTGAAAAAAACATATATGACAGACATGAACCTACGACAACCACTTAACTACTGGCTCCTGACTTTGGACAGGCACATAAAGAATGTGGCAGTTTTCAACATGTTTTTGAGCTCTCTACCCGCTCCAGGACAGTGGTTGAACAGTAACAGCACAACATAAGAAACGGTAAAAATCAGTTGAAAAAGGCCTGACTCAATAGATCGGTCTATGGCACAAAAACAAGTAACATTAACACAAAGCATCAGATGAATTTAACTGTTTTGTGTTTTCTTTACACAACAAAGTCATCGGAAAACTTAAAATTCAGTGTGAAGTTGTTTTCGAGATGCTTTGGCCTTATAAATCTTGAGCCATTCAGTTTGAGCAATATTCTGTTAAGTGTGAGTTATTTCAGTCCAATTTCATATTGAAGTTTTCCTATAGACATAGAACAGCCTTTTGGTTAAGTTGGAAATTAAAGCAATTTTTTATCATCATGATCATGGCACAACCCATCTTGTGTTGCTTCCCGGGCAGAAATTAAAAAAAAAATAATTGTAGAATAACTAATCCAAGAATGAAAATCTCGAAAAATGGTCAATAATCTAAGTGACCGTACAACACATCAATTCACGAATGCAGGTAGCACATGAGTTAATTTAATATCAGTGTTATTTGGATACGAGTTGAATATGTTTTGATATTTAAATTCTTGGACTATTTATTCTTTTTATTACATTGACCATGGACTTTTTATTGGAATAAAGTAGAAAATATATTCTCAATTGTTTTGGATAACAATACCCATAGTTGTATGAGGTCAGAGGTGTGAAATTACCAGATTTATTTCACATGTAAAATAATCGGTTTCCATTTCATTGAGAAATCATGGTAATTCATTGGAATTAATGTAATATTTAAATTAAAAAAATAAGAACAAAATAGATTAAAAGAAAATTGTTTAACTGAAAAATTGAGAATGGAAATGGGGAATGTGTCAAAGAGACAACAACCCGACCAAAGAGCAGAAAACAGGCCAAGGCCATCAAACCGCACCCGGAGGCGGGTTTCAGCTGGCCCCTAAACAAAAATGTGTACTAGTTCAGTTAAAATGGACGTCACACTAAACTCCGAAACATATGAATGAACTAAAATTAAAAAAAAACATACAAGACTAACAAAGGCCAGACAGAGGATCCTGACTTGGAACAGGCTCAAAAATGTGGCAGGGTTAAACATGTTTTGTGAGATCTCAACCATTCCCCTATACCTCTAGCCAATGAAGAATAAATAAACGCACAGCAATATGCACAGTAAAACTCAGTTTAAAAGAAGTCAGAGTCCGATGTCAGAATAGGTAACAGAAGAAACTAAGCAAAATGACAATGACACATAAATTAACAAAGGACTGCTAGCAGTTACTGACATGCCAGCTTCATGTGCATTATTTGAAAAAAAAAATTTAGTAAAATCGATGTACATATTTAAGGATTTATTAACAAGTCAATAAATTAAGATTAAATTGTTCTAAATGTTTGATTAAAAAAAAAATCGTTTTCAATAATAAAAAAAAAATAATTTTGTTGAAAAAATAGACTTGAGTTAATATAAACTGTTTGCTTAGAATTATATCCAAACACAAAATGTAATTATATTTTTATTTTTAACAGGATCTATTAGTAAAGACACAAAATACTAGTTCAGTATGCAGGTTTAAAATTTGGAAGTGGCACAGGTACATTTGTACTTATGAATGCCCCTAACCAACCAGGAGGAAACATGTTAAATGAAATAAGCTTTTCATACAGTATTACTGAAATTTTATATTCAATTCAAATTTTAGAATAAACAATACATTAACTTAATGATTAAGGGCATACGATACAGAAAAGTTCTCTTAAATAAATTATTTTTGGTGACAAAATAGAAACAAGTTGTTTATTTAAATCGAGCTTTTAGTCCTACAGTAGATTTTATGTGCTTTCATAAACAACATCTTTGTTTTCCTTTGAAAATACAAATACAACTGATTTGATGACATCTGTCGGGAATTTTAATTATATTAATAGCAACATCACAAAAACAATGCGTAAAACTTTACTTGGATAAGTTATTACTTGCCCCTCTTACTGTATCTTATGCCCTATGTTACAAATGACAAGTTAAATATGTCACCCTACGGCATTTAACGATTAGAAAAGACAATAACATGTATATATGTAGCAGGATTTAAAAAATCCCTTCATGATAATGAAAACTAACCTTCATACCCTCCCTGTAGGAATGTGGGTTTTATTGCAATGTCTATCTGTCCATCTGTCTTTGTCAAACAAATATTTTCATTGCCCTGTTCCAAAAAAATACTCAACAGGATGAGTTCATGTTGATAGAGCTGCTTGATAGTGATGAACTTTAATGTGTGAGCACTTTTTATATGTCATATACCTGTTTCCTGTTTGCTGATATTTCAATATGTCAAAGAACACAAATTTTTCATGACTTCTATTGGTAATGCTGCTGAACAAAATGACTTCATATTTGGTTAGCGTCTTAACCATGATGAGTTGTGTGCAATTTTGGATGTGTCAACATGTGTATATATTTCCTGTTTTCCGATACTTTAAATTATGAATTGTCACATGCTTGGCAAAACAACTGATGTATTCTTGTTTGTATACAGAATGAATCACTTATGTTCTTGTCCCAGGCAGAAAATCCTGGCCGTGTTAGGCGCAACTTTTTGGAAGTTTTGGTCCTCGGTGCTCTTCAGTTTGTACTTGTTTTGGCTTTCAAACTTTTTTTATCTGAGCGTCACTGGTTGGTCTTGTGTGGACGAGACGCACGTCTGGCGTATTGAATTTTAAGCCTAGTACCTTCTGCAAGCTATTATTCGTGTGTTTCTTTGTCCTATATGTTCTCCCATTTATTTGTATTGTGGTCCTGTCATGTGAAGTTGTCGTTTTGGTGTTGTGTTTGACGTTGCCATAAAAGCGGGAGGTTTGGCATGCCACAAAACCAGGTTCAACCCACCATTTTTTTCTTAAAATGTCTTGTACCAAGTCAGGAAAATGGCCATTGTTATATTATAGTTCGTGTCTGTGTGTGTTACATTTTAATGTTGTGTTTTTGTTGTGTCGTTGTTCTCCTCTTATATTTGATGCGTTTCCCTCAGTTTTAGTTTGTATCCCGGATTTGTTTTTATCTCCATCGATTTATGAGTTTCGAACAGCGGTATACTACTGTTGCCTTTATTTATGATTTGTAATATTAAAAATCTGGAAACTCAATTTAAAGTACAGAAACCTTTATTTGAATATAATAGATATCAATCAAAAACATCTTCTAAAAACATTTTGAAGGCATTTTGAAGGCATTTGAAAGAAAATATCCCCAAAACATTTTATGACATTATTTGATGTTCATAATGTTTTTCAAAAGTTTTGAAAATATTATTAGAAAATATTTGTGAAAAGATTATCAAAATGTTTTATACACCATTGATTTTCACTTTATCATGATATTTCTTGACAATATTTTAATGATATTAAGCCAATATTTTAGGAAATATATTTGAAAATGTTTTTGCGATATTTTAACCATACACTTTAATGTTTTTTAGACATTTTATTGTGATATTTTCATGACATTTGACATAACATTTTTATAACATTTTAAAATATTTTTGTGTTTGCTGGGAAAACAATGAGGCCAAATTATTGTCTTACAAGATAATAATATATATTCGATGTTAAGCTTATTTTTACAAAATTGAACTAAGCTCAAAATGAATTAATATTTCAACATTCGCAGAAAGCAAAGTTTGTACAAATTCAACAAGCATTTTATATCTGTGTTTCGCATATGTCTTATTTGTCCGTATAGTCGAGTTACTCGTGGTTCGTCTACAGTGTTTACTGTTTGGTCTTACATGATCTTGCCTTATATTACAGTTATTTTACTTTTAATTTCTATATGTATGTAAAAGTGATGATAAAAGATCAGCATATTCATTTATGTCATTTTATGTTTAAAGCAACTTTATGCACAGGAATGTTTTGTTTATACACAGTTTTAATTTAAAAGAAAAACCGACATGGTAGGAAAATACAAATAATAACACCATTCCAAACACAATTCCATTTTGATATTCTTGTCATGGTTAGAAAATACATAATATAACACCATTACAAACTCAATTCCAATTTATATTCTTGTACGTGTCTATAAATAAAACAAATCTATTTTATTTTTAGAAATTTACGTGTGTTAATATAAACGTCACAAAAAATACTTCACATTTTGTAGCGTTGATCCATTCATGTGACGCGCAGTTTATACTTCGTTTGTGGTGTCCTGGTGTGCTGTCGTAAATTCATTGGAGGTGTCCGTTGTTATTCTGCGGTTTACGTGTTGTAATGTACATTATATTATGTTTTTGTGTATTTCTCTGTGCTGAGTGTCCTTGCGTTTGTTTGTACTGTATTCCTGTCACGCAGTGTTGTCATTTTAGCGGTATTTTTAACAATGCCATATAAGCGGGAGCCATAAAACCAGGTTCAACCCACCATTTTTTCTTAAAATGTCCTTACCAAGTCACGAATATGGCAGTTGTTATCAAATAGTCCGTTTCTATGCATGTTGGCGTTTGTTTTTGTTGCAGTTCAGTGTTTCTGTTGTTCCGTTATTTTCCTCTTATAGTTGATTTGTTTTCCTTGGTTTTAGTTTGTAACCCGGTTTGTTTTCGCTTAATCGATTTATGACTTTTGAACAGCGGTATACTACTGTCGCCTTTATTTAGTGTGGCAACATTGGTATACAATGCAATGGTATTGATAAGTAAAATACTTATAATAAAATTCTGACATTTGATTCAGAATTAAATGATTTTACTGCACGACAATTTCTATTTCAATCTTCATCCTTAGCTTTCATAAACTGTTGAAAAAGTAAATAACAAAACATCTCTATATTTATTAGAAAATGTTTACAGCAGCAAGAACTCTTTCATTTTGCGACACAAAACGCACGTGTATTTCCGGAAGACAACTATATATTGAATACAATATCAAATACAATTTACAAACATTGATATCTTCTCCGTGACTCCGGGGTATGCTGGTAAGCTAAAATTGTTATTGCTACAAACAATGATAATATTCGAACGTTAAAGTCTTTTCTAACGTTAAAGTCTTTTTGAACATTAGTCTTTTTCAGTTCGTCTTCTTGTCGACTAGAACCCTTCAGTAGAAAAGTCGCGATACTTGTAATGTAAATTGATTTTCGTTTTGTGTATTATTTCGGATAAAAATGTTTTGTATATTGATCTTCAGAGAAATTTATCCCGGCCTTGAATGGTTTGTTTTTTACATATTCTGAAATATTGAAGATCACAAATATAACAATGTAAAAGTCAACTTTTATATTAAAACGGTTTAAATCGTCAATTAAAAAAAAGTCCACGTTACTATTATATATACCGATTGCAGTCATAAAACCTCTGGTTTCTTACGCATGCACAATACAGACCAACTGATTCTTGACAATGGTTTATCAGTATACACCTTTACATGAAATGTCAGGATCGTGTAAACTAAAACTTCACACATACGAAATCAAAAGTTTGACATTTGCTTTTTTTCGTACTAATCTGTTCTACTTTCAATCAGGTTCATAATTGTTTTATGACCTAATTTACAGGCCAAATCCAGTGCTGTCTGATTAGCTTTATCTTTTATATTTACGTCTGCTTTATTATTGAGTAAGAGTTTAACGATGTCATAATGGCCTTTCTCACAGGCAACATGTAATGCTGTTTTTTTTTCGTTGTTGATGTGATCAATGTTTACGTTTGTTCTTAACATAACTTGTACAGTTATAAAACTTCCCGATAAGGCAGCGATATGAAGTGGACTTGCATCATCTGATCCACATATATTCACATCCGCATTATTATCAACAAGAAGTTGCACGATTTCATGATAGTTATGTTTCCAAGATTGACTTTGTTCACATGCTATATACAATGGAGTTTTAGTCTCCCCGTCGGCTTGGTTAATTTCACAGTTAGACCTCACTAATAATTTTGCATTGTTCAAACGTCCTGAATAACTAGCTATATGAAGAGGACTTTGTCCATCATTATTGACAACATTTATATCAGCCTTGTTGTCAATCAATAGTTGTACCACGTCCTCATTCTCAATTGAACATGCATACAATAATGAAGTATTATTGTCTTTGTCGAGCTGATTAACTGGACATTTATTTTCTAGTAATAGTTTAACTATATTGAAGAACCGAGAATTTACAATTGTATGGGGAAGTGTTTCCTGATATTCCCTTTTACATGCCGCATGCAGTCCGGTCTGACCTGTGTCATCATATAAGTTCATGTCAGCATTATTATCCATCAAAATTTGAACAATATCATCATGTCCTTTACCACAAGCCATATAAAGCGGCGTTCTATTTCTATTGTCCGTCAGATTAATATCACAGTTTGTCTGCAACAATATTTTAACATTCTCTGAAAGTCCACAATAACAGGCGACATGAAGCGGACTTTCTCCATCATCACTTCGAATCTGAACATCTGCCTCATTATCAATTAAAAGCTGAACAAGTTTGTCGTTCCTTAGACCTGAGGCGTAAAACAACGGCGTTTTATTTTCGTTGTCCGCTTGATTAATACGGCAATTACAATCGAGTAAGATTTTAACTATGAGTAAATAACTGTCGTCGCTCAAGCTTTCAAGACGACTTTGTTTACATGCAGTAGTAATTATGGCGTCGCTAGTATTACTGCATAAATTTACATCAGCATTATTATTAATTAAAAGTTTCACTATGTTATAATTTCCCCTTTGACATGCAATAAATAAAGGAGTTTGCCCTTTACTGTTAACGTCATCAATATTAGCACTATTTTCAATTAATATATTTGCAATGTTTGTTTGGCCATTCGCACTGGCAACAAATAAAGGACTTTCTTTTTCCTTGTTCGATTTATTGATATCAGCTTTATTGTCAATTAAAATCTGAACTATGTCATATTTGCCATTTTCGCAAGCAATCAGCAATGGGGTTCTATTTTTATTGTCAGTTGTGTTCAAAGCACAGTTTTTATTGATTAACATTTTAACAATATTTTGGGCGTCAGCATTACTATTACATGCTGCATGGAGTGGTGTTTGCCCATCGTTATCGCATATGTTGATGTCTGCATCATTATCGATTAAAACAAAAATGTCATCAAATTTTCCTTGCTTGCAGTAAACAAACAACGGAGTTCTATTACCAATATCAGTTATATTAGTATTGCAATTGTTCCTAATTAAGGTTTCAACTATATTGACATTTAATGCTAGATGAAGAGGTGTCTGTCCTTCATTGTCAATAAAATCAACGTCAGCACCATGAGCAATAAGCAACTGCGCGATATTTCCGTCTCCTTGCTTACAGGCAATATGCAAAGGTGTCTCATTGTGGTTGTTGCCAAGATTAATATCGACTTCATTATCAACCAATAACTTTATAATGTCAATATGAGAAGCCTCACAGGCAACAAATAGTGGGGTTTTGTTATCGTTGTCAGTGTAATTAATATCAGCATTTTTACTAATTAACAACTGGACAATATCATAACGTCCATACTTAGAAGCAAGGTATAATGGCGTGCAATTGTTACTGTCAGTTAAATTGATAAAACAAGTCCTTGATAACGTTTTGACTATATTTGTATATCCAAACTCACATGCAATATGGATAGGAGACTGGCTGACGTAATTGCTGATATTAACATCTGCGTAGTTATTACCTAACTGCAAAACAATCTCTTCATCACCGATTTCGCAAGCAAGAAAAAGTGCACTTCTACTGTTATTGTCAACTGCATTGATATCACAGTTATTATTTAACAATAATTCAATAATATTATAGCGCCGGTGTATACAAGCAACATGTAAAGGGGTCTGACCATACTTATTACGTATATTTAAGCTGTATTCTTTTCCAATAAAATTGTGAATAACCTCAATATGGCCTTCTTTACTAGCATTAAATATTTTGATATCAGATTCTCCATTTTTCGAGTTTTTACTTTTAAATTGATATTTGACAAAAATATCAATAATGTCTGCATAGCCATGTATCCTAGCAACATCAGGTATAAAACAATTATTCTGATCACATATCGATACATCTGCATAGTGGTCAAGTAAAAGTCTCACTATGTCCTTGTTGCCGCATATACCGCTTGATCTTCTATCTACGACACTTGCAATAAACAATGGAGTTCTTTTCTTTGAATCTGTTTGATTAATATCAATATTACTTTTAAGTAAGGTCTTAACTGTATTATAATTCCTCTTTCTACAAGCAATATGCAGTACAGTTTCGCCAAATATATTACGTATGTTTACGTCAGCATTATTACTTATCAATAATTCAACAACATCATTATGCCCTTCTTTACATGCAGAAAATAAGGGTGTCTCTTTTTTCTTGTCTAACTGGTTAATATTACATCTTTTCGTAGCGAGCAAATATTTAATAGTAGTCATATTTCTCCTTTGACAGGCTACATGTAGAGCATTTTTGCCAGTTGAATTCGATAAGTTTACATCTGATTTAAATTCAAGTAATACTTTTACGATATCATGTTGATCGTTCTCAGAGGCTATGAATACAGGTGTTCTTTTGTGTCTATCGGTCTGGTTTATATTACACTTGTACAATAACAGAAGATGAACAATGTCTATATAACCTTTTCCGCAAGCAGTATGCAAGGTAGTACGTCCAAATTCATCTCGGACATTAGCACAACATTTATGTTTTAGTAAAACACTTATAATGTCTGTGTGACCTTCTTTACAAGCTACAACTAATGGAGGATCTAGGTCATGTCCACGAATGTTAATATCATAATCACAGGTCAAAAGGAGTTCAACAATTTCTACTCGTCCTTCTTTACATGCCACAAGTAGTGGTGCATGTCGGTGTCTTAAAAAGATTTGGGTATCCACCAACCATTCATTATTTCCATCTTGATGATCAATAGTTTCAACATGACTAGCCATCGGTGAATCAGTACTTGGTCTACTTTGTGCGTTATTCAAGTTTCTTTTATTGATTATGAATTTTACTATTTCCTTGTATCCGTTCAATGTAGACAGATATAAAGGCCATTGATTGTGTACTATAGCCAGAATGTATTTTTCGTTTTTGTTTAAAAACTTTATAATTTTTTCTTGAAACAATTCATGTTTCATCTGTTGCGTGTTAAACACATTGACAAACGACTTTCTTTCAATTTCCATACCCATGCGAACAAAGTATACACATTCTAATTCTGGAGGGATCAGTATAGTAAATTCATCATGTTCTTTGTTTAAGGATGCAAATTGAATTCTGTCTCGAATAAAATTGCCGTTTGCATGTTGCAAAATAACTTTAGGAATCTTTTTCCCGAAGTACAGAGCTATGATGTCAAATATTTTGTCATGTAAAGTTGTTATCGTATTCGCTTTCTCACTGATGTAAATTTCTTTTAGAGTCTGTAGACACGATAAGACATACTGCAGCGTGGGGCGAGAAGGTAAATTAAAATAATTAACAATGGCATCAAACGCCTCTCTAAATTGAATGTTGTCGTAAAACAAATCTTTTCGTAGGTTATTATTGTGAATTACAAGCAATGCCAGACCTAATATACAGCTTTTATTATTGTCATACATCTCGTCTAGCTCTTTTTCAAATTCGTCATACGGATTTTGAAATAAGAGTATTTTAGTTTTCTGTTTTCTGTTTCTATGAATCACGCAAAGTAGTGGAAACATATCTATACCTCTGACCATATCGTCACTAATACGGGTTATTGTTTTCTGATCAATGTAGCAAGCTGCAATTTTCCTTTTTTCTGCCACAGTTGCTTCAAATTCTTTAGACAGTAAGCTGCATTCTACTGTTTGAAACATTTGTGAAAACTTCTTAAAAATTGGTGTATTTGAAATCAGTAACCTGCAAGTAGCAAGTATGCGAAATGTACTGTTTTCAGTCCTAATGCAACGGATTTTAGTGTTTAATCTTTCCAAAGAATTTAATATACTTTTTTCTACAGAATATCTTCCGAATATATCATCTATTATAAAAATTTGATTATGTGGCGGATTATAGTACTTGACGATATCGCATGCATCCGTCAAAGGTGTAATTTGATAGCCATTATTCATCTCTAAAGTTAATGCTATATAATGAGAAATAGCAGATTTGCCCATCCCAGAATTCCCTGTTATTACTATAAATGAGTCATTCTCTATTTTTTTAAGCACTTTTGTTGCTCCAGTAGTAATATAGAACGTCATCATTTCTTTTTTCCAAAGTTTAATCTCCTTTGCAAACAAATCTGCAATTTATAAAATAAGAATTATTTACGGTGGTTAGATAAGCACCTTGAACCTGAGCATTCCACTAGGTACCTACGATGCAGTCATTCATATATGTCATTTATTTTCTGCATGTTCTCTTTTTCCCGGTTTTGTAAAAATATATTTAGAAGTACAATTACTTAAAAAACATTGTTTTTAAATATGTGGTTTAAAAATAGACAATGATTATACACTTATTTATTAAAAAGTATCACAAAAATACCGAACTCCAAGGTAAATTCAAAAAGGGGAAGTCCATTAAAACTGAAAAAATCGAACGTTGAACTTCATCAAACAATGGAACGAAAGAAAAACAATTGTCATTTCTGAATTGGTACAGGCATCTTCCGAACTGTGTCAGTATTTAATTTTCAAGAGAAGAAACGAATGTCCTGATGTTACTAACAAAACTGGCATTTCTGAAAATTAACACGTTTTGTACTATTTTATGAAGATGTCTCAGGAAAACACCTGGGTCAGTGGGTATATTATTAATTGGCATAAATATTTCCCTTAAGTGCTTGATCTGAAAGATATCTTAAACAATTTTAAATTTCGATTTTATTCTGGTTTACCGGAGAGAACAAAACTATTTTCCGTATATACATTTAAAAATGAAGTTTGGAATGTTGTATATGTTACAGTACAACCTGGAACTCAATAGGCTCCATAATCCTTCTAGTACAAATTGTAATTCCAATATCTACTAGTTTACATTGGAGTTCTGATTTTGAAGGTGATTTTATTTAGTAAGATTCTGAATTACACCAAATTTCTAGTAGGATCCAGGATATTACGTAAAACTATAACTAGTATGATTCTGAATTGTACTGAATTTTTACTTTATTGTTTTTACTTGTGCACCTGATAAATAGGAAAACATTTACTTTTCAAAAAGTGTTCAAAACAAAATGAGCACTATCAATATTGAAAATTATACTCGTCTCGTCGAAGGTTGCATCAAAAGAAATCATTAACCTAATATTGTTTTATCTGAAAGACAATATATAGAAATATTTCGAATAACATTTTTTGGGGGTTTTGGTTAAGAACGTCCATTTTATACATTAATTTTTTTAAATCATAACTCAGAATTTGTCAAAATCTGTCACTATTCAAGTTTTAAACCGTCTTTAATTGAGGATATATAACTTGATAAAGTTTTGAGAAATATACTACCCACACCGCATATCAAGCTATAAAAGGCCCGACATGACAAAATGTAAAACAATCCAAAACGAGAAAACTTACGGCCTGATTTATGTACAAAACCACAAACAAATATGATATACAGCTACAAACAATAACCACTGAATAATAGGCTCCTGACTTGGGACAGGCACATTCAGAAAGTGTTATGGTAAAACATGTTTGCAGGTGCCCAAAAGTCTTCCTAACCTGGGTCATTCTCGCATCTTTCTAGTTTAAATCAGGATATCCCAACTTCTACTAGGTCTGTAGATTTGTACTGGATTAAAATTAGTATGAATCAGAACTTCAATATTTTACTATTATACATTGGAATTCAATTTGTACTGTAACAAATACATTCAGTTCTCTTTTAGAAAATTTAAATGACATAAAACTTATAAAAATGCTTTATTGTATCATGAGGTATTCATCATGGGACAATGAAAATAGAAAATAAAATCGCAATTATTTTACTCTTTTGTGAAATTGTTAACTTTTCGTCTTTGATTTCTTTGCCATTGTGATGTCTAAATTTCGATATGTTTTCACATTCTGCAATTAATACTATTTAACTTTTTTAAAATACTGAATTTCATATCAAAAAGTTTTCCAACTATATATCAATTCGTATTTTTTTTAATTTATCATATTTCTTTCGCAAATTCTACCTTTCAAATTCTTTGGTATCGGATCATTCAGTTTTAATTCTAGCATTTCAACTCTCTCAGTAACTTTCACCAATTCTTCCTCCAGTTTTATTAACTTGTTTTGAGTTTTTATAAAACTGAGATGATCTTCTCTTTGTGAAGTATCAAACTCTTTCGCATACAAAGTATCGCATTCTGTCTCCATAGAAACACCACCGAGTCTGAGTAGTGCCTAGAATGGTAATAAGCATTATATTGGAATTGAGAACTTTGATGAAAATAAGCATAGTAATTTTTTTTTTTTTTTTTGTGGAAATTACATTTTAGCGAAACAAGGCTATAATCATCATGATATAAAGGGTCGTTTTTATCAAATAAAATCAACAGAAGACTTTGTAGGATTGTTAGACAACTTCATTAATTTCTCGTGTTAAAACAGTGCATAATACAATCCAATGTGTTTTCGTTAATAGAGGTTTCTGACTTAATCAAATTTCAAGTAAATTCATAACTGTATCACCTAATGCAAGAAATAGGCGCCATGATTCCAAATACATAAAAACCGATAAACATTCTAAATGTGTTTTTTTCTGTAAATAAGACTAATCGTCATATCTGATAGAAACAGCTGTCTGTCTTTACTTTGTGGCTAAAATGATTGTCAATGATGAATATAATAAAAAAGTATGACTAAAATACTAAACTCCAAGGTAAAATCAAAATCGGGAAGTCCATAAAAACTGACAAAATCAAACGTGAGACCAACCAACGGAACTAATGGAAAACAATCATCATATGTCTGACTTGGCAAAGTCATTTTCCGAAGAAAATGATGTGTTAAATCTTGTTTTATAGCTAGTTAAACCTCCAACAGCCTTTAGTTATTTCAATGAAATTGACCTTTTTGTTCGATTGAACCAAAAGTCTGGATGTGTTCTCTAAATTTTTAAATGAATATTTAAACTCACCATTTTAATATCATTCCAATAATCTTGAAAATCTATGCTACTAATAAATCCATCTTCAGAGTGTGCTATCTTATTTCTATAAAATTTAATTCTGGACAGATCAGCTCCTACACTAATATTAGTTGATATCGGAAGTATGTCACTAATTTGAATTGGCGTTAGATTCCTTATGAGACAAATCATTAACGTACTGTCAAAATGTTTTGATGATACTTCTCCTGAAAGAATAACAAAGTAAACAATTTGCAAATAGATTGCATTCTTTCTGTGGGACGTATTCGGGCATGGTTGCATTTTTCGGGACGCCATTATGGCGAAATCACGACGGAAATCGACCCTACATTAGTTTTATGGTCAACATCACGAACTGGTTGACCAATACAATGTGTCGTTGTCAAACTCACTATTGATATATTTCCGCGATCTCAGATTTTAGATACAAGTACAAGTCGTCTGATCTGTATCAATGTGTCCTGTTCCCGATTGTAACATTTTGACTGAGTGTGAATTCACATGGCGAGTGATGCGTAGCAGGAGACGATTACCCTATCGACGCACTAGGGCGCGCTCTTTTTTTGAGTTCATGCGGTTTCCTCAGTTTTTGTTTGTTACCTTGATTTGCCTATTTCTAATCGATTTATGAGATTTGAACATCGGTAAACTTCTGTCGTCTTTATGTATGTTTGATAAACCGCTACCAATTATTGAAAAACAGCCATATTTTGGCTTCTGTATATATCAAAGAAACAACATAGAATAATTATTGACCAACCTGTTCCTGGAAAAAGTAAATTCCATTGTTCTTGGTTGATGTGCCTTTTACTTTGTAGGTAGGTCAATTTGCGAATATTTGAATTTAATGTTTTATTTAAGCAATCAGGATGGATTTCATAGTCAAACCGTATTCTGACAGCTCGTGGTGATATTCTCAGTAATAGCAATGCAATCTTTATGTAGTTTGACTCTTCCATTGTAATAAGTGTCATAATTCTAAAAGGAAATAATAAGTTGATGAGTGTATTTCATCGGTACAAATCTGTTGAATTTTAGTAAGAACCGTTGTGTCTAAGTTTTCAAACAACAAATAAGAATAAATAATGGATATGCAATGCGTATTTACTTATTTTTCAGTACGCACACTTATTCAGTATGACGAGGTTTTAGAATGAGGTTTATAACTACTTAGATACATGTATGGGCACCTTGTAACTCGTTTTCACTATTACCGAACCTTTACCCTTTAACATGCGTGTCACTGTTTATCGATAACAATGAGTACACGCAATTACAATATTCAGGGCCTCTCAATAGAGATGTACATAATACTATATATACACGTTTGTTTGTTTTTAGCTTTTTTGATTCGAATGTCACTGATGAGTCAGCTGTTGTAAACGAAACGCCAGTCAGGCTAACACAATTAAAAGCCTGTGGTCTGTTGTTCAACTTGTCGTTAGTGCTAACGAGTCGTTAAAATTTCTTAATCATTCGATTAAAAATAATCATATGACTAGTGTACATGTGTTGTTCATCTTGTTAATTTTAAAGCGGTGTTAAAAATGCTAAACTGTCGTTAAATTTAATTCACCACATGAAGGTGTATTAAATTCTATTCATATGATTAAAACATCCAACATGGCTGCTGTAGCAATGCAAAAATTGGTTTATGCTCGAAAAATCAGACGTTTAAGACTTGGAAAGGGAAAGTTTAGCAATGATCAGCTATGGAAGCGCTATAGATTTGAAAGAAACACAAAAAATCTGTTAGGAATTGAGTTGAAACGTAAATTGGAAAGGGATTAGACAAGACAAGGCGAAGGATTGGACGGATACATACAATGGCTATCTTATAACAGAAAGAAATTGCACATTTCGACAGTTTTTCGTTTGTATGTTACCGCTTACCGAGCAGTGTTGATGGAAACTGACAACACACCAGTATGTCTCATTAATGTATACATGCCATCTGAAAACAAAGATATGGAAAATGAGTACAAAGATACTCTGGCACAAATGACAAAAATAATAAAAAATACAGAAACACTCATCATATAATGCTATCTGGAGACTTGAATGGGTCTATTCATCGATCAAAAACATCTCATGATCCTCTATTAAAGACATTCTTGGCAGAAAACTCATTGGAACTAAACCGAGATTACCCAGAGAAAGAAACCTTTTTGCATCATAACGGGACATCTTCATTATTTTTTTCTCAGGAAGTAAAGAACTAACACAATATGTACAGATCTTAGATATGGAACCAGAAAACACATCTGACCATGTACCTGTCATAGCTACAATCAAGAGAAAACTAATTAGGAAATCCAACAAACCAAAATCAGTCATTGTAAGAACAAAATAGAAAAAATTAAATCTACAAAAATATCAACTGACCATATCTGATGGAGTGGAAATAATACTTCAAGCTAGAAACAAAAATTTAGAGGAGGACATTACATCTATAGGAAACATAATGTATAATGCATGCAATGAGGCTATACCGAACTACGACAAATCAATAAGAACCAAAAGCACTGGGAAATCCCTTTGGAATAAGAAAATATCAGAAGCATCAAAAATTATTAAAGAAAAGCATGCCTTATGGAAAAAATGGAGAAGCATCAAAAGACAAAAATAATCCGTTAAAATCACAGCTAATAACATCCAAAAGGCTCATAGACAAGCATATGCCTCGTAAAGAGAAAAATTGGCAAACCAGATAATGATAGCATCTTCTTCGGACAATAAACCTTTTCACAAAATACTAAGAACACAAAGGTCAGATGGTAACCGATTTACCAAGACTCTACAAAAGGGTAACCAAATTGCTGAAACAAACGAGGACATTCTTCAAATGTGGACAAGTTATTTCCACGAGCTACCGAATCGAGACTATAAGCAGGATTTTGATTACAAAATATATGAGCTCTCATCCTTGCAAAATACCATAATCGAAAAGATAGAAATGGGGAAAGTTAAAATTGAACCAATAAAAGAGGAGGAAATACATGATGCTGTAAAAAAACTGAAAAACTGAAAATCCCAGATATCGCTGGAATATCAGCCGAACACTACAAACACGCTGAGGCCGAGCTTCTACCACTCATATTGCATATCCTCAATACAGTAATAGAACAACTTGACATCCCACAGATGCTGAAAGGAGGAACAATGACACCAGTATTGAAGAAAAATAAGGACCGTCAAAACCCGGCAAACTATAGAGGAATCACAGTGACCAAAATCCTCACTAAAATCCTACAGAGTGTATTAAAATTCAGAATAGATATAAAGATCCATCAAATCCGAACCCAACTACAACGAGGATTTACTGCAGCCATACCCATGATATTTGCTATATTCCTGGCATCGGAAGTTATAATACAATCTTGTGAAGATGACCAGGAAATCCTGCTACTAACTTTGGATGCAGAAAAGGCTTTTGATAAACTGGAGCATGAAATTTTCTTCAACAAGGTCTATATTATGGCATTGACGGTGACATGTAGATTCTACTCCGTAATATGTATAGAGAAATGAGCATGAGAATTAAATGGGACGATCTTGTTTCTGACAAAATACCTGTCAACCGAGGAATTCAGCAAGGAGCAAAACTTTCAGCCGCCTTGTACAAATGCTATAATAATGCCATTCTAGATAGTGTGACAGAAAGTGGATTAGAAAGCCATATGGGGACAATATACATTGCTACACCAACATGTGCAGATGACATATTAGTAATAGCAAACTCTGAAAGTGAACTGCAGGGCATTATGGACATTGTATACAACCATACACAGAGAGAACTAGTCAAGATCAACCCACAGAAATCGGACCTTGTATGCTATAATACCAATCAGGACAGAGTAGTTAACATTGGCAGCTCTCAAATAGGTAGAAGTACAACTGCAAAACATCCTGTAAACCCAGAAATGAAAAGAATACAATTGATATTGATGAAAAACTGAAAGTAGGAAGGGCCACTATCTGTGGCATGTTAGGAGCTGGATATAAGGAAAGGTTTTTCTCCTCTTGTATCCCACAATCTTTGGAAGGTATATTCTGTTCCAAAAATGACATATGGGCTGGAGGTCATGCCCATTAAGAACAAAAAATGAACCAAATGGAAACCATGCAAAGGAAAATATTAAGGCAGCTGCAGGGCCTTCCAAATCAGATAGCCAACACAGCAGTCTATACATTAATTTGGGCAGTACCGATCCCTATGATGATAGACCGAAATATGCTATCTGTGTTGATGAACATAATAAGAAACAACAACTCATTAGAGTTTCAAATCCTAGAACGTCAGCTTGCAATGAAAAATGAAAAAAGCTAAATTTTTGTAAATAGATTTACAGGAAGCTCTTACCAAGTACAGGATGGAACCTGTTGATAATCTCATGGAACACCCAAAATCAAAGGAAAAATGGAAAAGGATAGTTAGATATCATCAAAATAAATACTGGCATGAAGTATATATGTTTAGAAGACCAGTCTAATAAAAAGACATTGGCATATCTTCAAATACAGGAAAACCCATCCTTTATGCCGCTTAATATCTGGCAGTGCACAGGAAGCAACCCAACTAATGTGAAAACAGGAGAAATAAAGAGCAGACCAGTAACACAAACATATATGCTACAGACAGTTAGGTCTAGACACAATAAGAATATATCCCTAATATGTATATTGTGTTATACAGCAGATGAAGATCTAGAACACTTCATACTCTCATGCAGTAGACATAAGCATACAAGTGAAAGGCACCTCCAGAAAATAAAATCATACCTGGAAAACTTGAAGAATGGGCTCTATCAGAACTTTTAACATGAATGGTATTTTTTCCTTTGATCTTCGCGCGAGTTAAATAAGTTATTAATACAGGAGTACATTAACAGGACGTTTTTTCTTTAGTTATTGCACTCTCCTATCCCGCCGTTGACCGCTTGTCATAGGAAAGGCATAGATTGGGAGGAGCTCAGACCAGTGAAATAACTAATTCTTAGATCGAATTTAATGCACTGGTCCAAGCTCCTGCCACTCTGCTTTCATATGAGGCTCCACCTCATTGGACTTCCCGTTGTTCCCTTCTGGTTTTCTTAGTTGTTTGGGCGGGGGAGGCTTTGGAATAAACATCCACTTCATTTGAACTTTGGTGGATAGTTGTCTCATTGGCAATCATACCACATCTTCTTATTTTTATATACTTAAGGTGAATAAGCAAAATCACGTTTCTAACGTCGACCACCGACCGGGGGGTGGTGTCTTAAATATTGTAACACTTTGACACTCTATTTCAAGTATCATATTTTGTACGGACTGCAAATGCAATAGTCGTATCTTTGGTAGACTTAAGATGTAATTTGTTCTCTTACAATGCTCAACTCGGCTTTGTACTGAAAATGGACTCTTAGTGATAGCAATATCAGTTTTGAAAACAAAATTATGACGGACAGACGACGGAAACCAAGCAAAGTGAAATACATGTTAGGGGGGAGGAGGGGTCCAAGAAATTGTAAATAAAGTAGGGACTGCAGATGCAATAGTCGTATCTTTGGTAGATTGAGGATAGAAGATGTAATGCTCTCGCACAATGCTTAACGCGTCCATCTCACTAAAAAATGGACGCCAAGTGACAGCAATCTCAATTTTGAAAACAGAATTATGACGGACAGACGACGAATACCAAGATGAGTGCTTTAAATCCAGTGAAATACATGCGTTCACATGAAAACATGAAGCCTTATCACTTTTACTGCAGAAAATAGTGTGACAGAATTATTTATTTTTTCAAAGTCAATAAAAGGCATTAAATGTCTGTTTTCTGTCAACTTTCACAAAATAAAAAAGCGTTAAAATACAAATACACTCCTTTTATCCTGAAATAAAAAAAAACCCAAAAAACTGAAAAAAATAAATATCGCCTACATTGTCAATAAACCGACATGATACTATCCTTAATTGAAATTAAAGTTACAACTTGAAAAACTGACAGCGCCTGAGTGCATAGTTGTTACATCATTCAAACAGTGCTTCTTGACATTTTTCATTTTGTAACCATTATCTGTACGCAATTCATCTACTGTGTTGGAAACGGTCGTGTTTTCATCTTCGCTCGAAAGAACGGGTGGGTTCAAGATTTTTGACACATTCTTTTGAATGCTCCCATTGCTAGTTTTGTAAGCTCTCACTGATGCCATGGAGCGGTGACCAGTTCTTGTCATGATTTCTTGTTCATCAATACCTATATGGTATAGGGCGGTTGCACAAGTGAGTTTTCAGGAATGATTCGTTCAGTTCCCTAAAAGTCCACCTTATTGACATAGCTCGCGCATTAGTCCGTGTAATTTATTTTCTCCAAGTGCTGATTTTCCATAACGAAAACGATCTTTCCCATCCATGTTGAGCGGTTGTCGATAAAATGTTCCGGAGCCCACAGCTTTCAAGTACTCTTCATAGTAAGCAATTATGCATCTTGGACCTACAAATTAAAACAAATTGAAAGAGTTTTTTCCGCTTGCTTCTATTTAAAGAAAATTATGACAGTTGCAGTTATATTCTGCAAAACTTATCGTGTATATTATAATTTCGTATATGAGCTTTTGGTTTGAAAATGATTGATTGACTGTTGCTGTTTAACGCCACTTTCAGCACAATTGGCTATATCGTGCAATGGTATGTAAAGCTTACTCTCTTTGATTTTACCTTTTTTTTAAAAAATGATTGATTAGTTGTTGCTGTTTAACGCCAATTCAGCATTACTGGCTATATAGTGGTGGTCTGATTTTTTTGGGAAATGAAGCAGGAGTGCCCGGGTTGAATAAAATAATATTAAAAAGTATATAAAACGAGTACATCCGTAGAATAATTTATTCAAATAATCAAATTATAGCAGTGCATGTATATTCAAAAAAACTTATCGTGTATATTACAATTTCGTATATGAGCTTTTGATTTGAA